GGATTTCTCACGTAGTAATTTGACGAGGAATTCGACTAGTTTCAAGCCATGCTAGAGGCTCATATTCATGAGCAGCATTCCGCGACCCGCGACGCGGCGACTGTCGCGCTGCTACTGATCCGTCTCTCTCGAGTTCCTCGTCAAATTACTACGTGAGTAAGCCGAAAACATAATAATTTATTTAGTATGTCTCACGAAAATTTCTACACACGGGCAAAGGCCTCATTACCCTCCTTCCACTCATTTCTTCCTATAGCTTTCTGTGGCCAATACTATTCTAAGGCGTCAAGTTCATTCAGCCATCTCCTTCTGGGCCTACCACGATGTCTATTGATGTTCAGCAGGCTCCACTCAGTCGTGAGTTTTGCCCACTGACTTGCGGATTTAGGCATCATATATTTTATTAATTCTAAGATCATATATCAGGCACAATTCCAGACTTCATTATCATAACATCACGCGTTTTATTTGCCTAATGGGGTACGTAGAGTACACAGGTGTACTTTACGTAGATACTAAATGCTTACAATGTGTTGCAAGCGGTAATAGGCCACGCTAACCGATTGCCATCAGGTGGGCCGTGCGCTCTTTTTGCCACCTTTGTGGTATAACGCCAATACGCTGAAATACTCAAACGCTACTAAGTCACGCTTAAGTATAGTTCTGTCTCTACAAATTCTTTGTATAATGACAGAGATGGCACGATATTTAAGTAGAACTTAAACTTGAGTAGTCTTTCTGTCTTCGGGCGTAAGTATATTAATTCCAAACGAAGCAATGACTTGGTATACAATTAACAGTTTTAATATTATTAATTTAGTGTTTAAAATCGTTCATTAGTTTTCACATAACATAAAACATTACATCACGCCAGAAGTGCACATTACAGCACTTAATGCCACTTTATAATGTAACACCCACTTTATGTTATGAGTCCCATGTAATAGGGGGTGAGCCTATTGTCATATACCGGGCATGTTTTCAGACTCCGTGGCTACTACTGAGAATATTTAAAAACCCAGTAGTACTTTGCTCGACCCGGGAATCGAACTCGGGACCCCTTGCCGTCATTAATTTTCAATTCGAGAGAAATCGTAATATCTAGAAAGCAGTGTTTCATGTACGTCTATTAATTCACACACGTCGTACACATATTTTTTATATTTCAGATCTTTTAAATAATTTTCAAAATATATTTTTTTTAATAGCACCCCAAATGTTCACACGCGACACTAAATAAATAGTTACCATAAAACAAAATTTCATATCTTCTACGTAAAGTACACCTGTGTACTCTACGTACCCCATTAGGCAAATAAAACGCGTGATGTTATGATAATGAAGTCTGGAATTGTGCCTGATATATGATCTTAGAATTAATAAAATATATGATGCCTAAATCCGCAAGTCAGTGGGCAAAACTCACGACTGAGTGGAGCCTGCTGAACATCAATAGACATCGTGGTAGGCCCAGAAGGAGATGGCTGAATGAACTTGACGCCTTAGAATAGTATTGGCCACAGAAAGCTATAGGAAGAAATGAGTGGAAGGAGGGTAATGAGGCCTTTGCCCGTGTGTAGAAATTTTCGTGAGACATACTAAATAAATTATTATGTTTTCGGCTTACTCACGTAGTAATTTGACGAGGAACTCGAGAGAGACGGATCAGTAGCAGCGCGACAGTCGCCGCGTCGCGGGTCGCGGAATGCTGCTCATGAATATGAGCCTCTAGCATGGCTTGAAACTAGTCGAATTCCTCGTCAAATTACTACGTGAGAAATCCGAAAATATATTTTTTTTAATAGCACCCCAAATGTTCACACGCGACACTAAATAAATAGTTACCATAAAACAAAATTTCATATCTTTGGACGAAATAAATTAGAAAAAAAAGATAAAATTTAAAATTACACTTCAGCTATAATTATATCATAAAATTTGATAAATTTTTCGTTTCTTTGCTTTTTCTTTGGCAGTTTTCCATCTTTCGTATACTGGCCATATGGGGCCTATCTTTAAAGGTTTGTCTTTAAGCGCCAATCTCGAAAACGGCTCGACAATAATTAAGTAGCTCTTAAAAATAGCCATATATAAATTTATAAGTACATTCGATCCTAGGATTAACAATAAGTCGTTTATTTTAACAGAGACAAAGAAAACATAATTTAATTCCTTAACTAGAACTTTCAAATTGCATAATAACAGAAAAATTGCATGTTAAGCACCTTTGACAGCTGTCAATGTCAAAATATCAACTGTCAGAATTCACGCTAGCGGCTGTCACAGTGACGTTTAGTGGGCAGAAAGACCTTGGCGTTTTTTGTGGAGTGGAGTGAAAAATATTAATTTATGATTTGGGGAAGTACACATTATCAACATATGATATTATTTTAAAAGCGGAATACATCTATCGGTACAACTGAATGTGAGAATACTGAAACGATTAAAATAAAACTTACTAACATTAATAGCCTCAATTATAAACCCCAATACATGAAAAAACTAACACTTTATCACAACAAGATACCAATAAATAATCCCCATGTACAAAACAAAAATCCCCTCTAATTCCCCAGCGCATAAGTAGCAAAAGTCACTAATCCCCAAAAACCCACCCTCTCGCACAAAAATCACCAATAACCCACCCACTTAACCGTCTCATTCATGTAACGACATGTCTAAAGCCGACGTACCATCATCTCCTTTCTTCTCCTCCTTGTCATCACTCTTACCGACTTCATCTTCGCTTGACAAGTTGGAGTTGAAAAGAAAATGCTTGCCGAACTCCTCAGCGTCATAATTCTCCGTTTCGGTGCCACTTTTGTAATTATTCTGGTCCGTGGCCGGCGCGTACTCGAAGGACTTGTATTCCTTCTGTTTCTTGCTATTCTCTACGAATTGCTTCAGTTGCTGGGGCATCGGGAATGAGGATTTTATGTGGCAACGCTTCATCCAGTTGCGTAACGATTTGCGCGGGACCTTGTGTGTTTGTGCCGCTCTGTAATGGAATTGCGTTAATTAGATTTTGATTTGACCTAGGAGCATGCTAAAAACACTATTGAGAAAGCTAAAGAGTAAGAATCGTAGCAATTGGCGTTCCATAGTCTTTTCCTACCCCAATGGGAGACAGCCGTGTAGTTGTGTATGTATGTAGTTTTAGATTACTTTTTAAAGTTGATTAAACTGTCAAACACCGCGAGGACACCGGTGACCGCAACCTATTGTTCTTTAATTGTGTCTATAAGGACGGTACTCAACGAGTTAATATTAATATATTGCACGAGTCATCGGAAATGTGTCGTCACAACGTTGAGTTATCTTAACAGCAGTAAGCGTGACACATAATACGTTTGTTTCGGGTGAGGACTTGCTGCAACTTGTATGTATGTTGCTAGGTTTAATCTGGTATTATGCGTGTATTACGAATATTAAGTGATTACGATAAGTTTTATATGCAAAAACTGTCGAAAACATTTAGGTATTTAAAAAAAATGTTATAAACCCATAAACGAGCAAACGGATCACCTGATGGTAAGCAATCGGCGAAGCCCATAGACACTTGGAATACCAAAGGCTTTACAAGTGCGTTATGGGCCTTTTGGGGATTAGGAGTTTGAGGATCGTTGGGAATTCGGGGATTTGGGAAATTGGTTAGGGGGCCTACATGTATCCTCCATCATCTGATGATGATTTTCTTTTTAGAAGTCTAAACCTACTGTTTGACAGTTGTGTTTAGACTGTGTACCATTATTGGAACATTCAGGCCTAAAACACTAAAAATATACTTTGCTCAGAAGATTATAAAGGGGTTCGAACCCAAGATCTCTTGCTCGACTGTCATTGGACATAAGATTTAATCTACTAACCTGTATATACTGCCTCCCTTCTTCACATCCATGAGCGCGGCCCACATGGCCTCGTTAGAGTATCGGCGGTTAGGGTTGAACTTCCCCATCATTACACGCTCCAGATCCTTACGCGACAGCCCTGACGAGCTAACTTCCTTTCCCTCCAAAAATTGGTCCAAATCAGACTTGAGAACAGTCTCCCCGATATCTATATTCCTATCCTTAAATATTGGTGGTCTACCACGCCTCCGCATCTGAGATTTCTCCCCCAATTTAGGGAAAACTTCTTTGTTGGCAACACCGTCTTTGGTTTTAGGTATCAACTCTACTTCGGATTTTTGGTTTTTGGGATCAGGTTTTGGTTTTTTCACTTGGCTAGCTTTTAGGAGGGACACCTCTAGTTCCCCGTTTTGCTCTAACCAAGACTTGTAATAATCATTTTCAGACTTGTCACTTGATTTTTGGGTGTATTCATCAGTTGGGTTGGTATTGAAACCGTATTTTGAAAATTCGTTCCTTATTTCTGACGTACTCATTTTGGCGAGTCTACTTATGTACTCTGAGTTCGCTAAGTTTTGTAGTTTAGTTTGGAAGAATAGTTCACTCTCCGGCTTGACACGGAGATAGGAGCGCCCTAAAAGCAGACACAAGTTATGAATCACATTGGACGATATAATTGAACCATGAATGGGATCTACAGCGGATAACAACCACTCAAATGTCTGTAAGATAGTCAAAATGCAACTAAACAACAAATTTCCTACAAAATTTACCTTCATTCATGGTTCAATTTAAGTTTCAAATAAAATTATACATTCTACTATAATATAAACGGCCTACCTTACAGACATTTTACATAATTTTCCTTTAACTGACAATATCCATTCACAATATGATCTTCGCTCAACACTCGACCGAATTTTTGACGTGGGCAAACACAGTTTGGTAAACCAATTGAATTTTTATTTAAAAAACAAAATATTTGTGAACCAAAACAAAAAAATGTTAAAAAAAAAATAGTTTAGCAAGTGACGAGAGAGAAGTCACATTGCAAACAAACATTGATTTAATTAAAATAATTATTTAAAAAATAAATAAAATAAACAAATAAATTAATTATTCATGTTATGTTACATTGTCTATGTTACTCACCGGACGGTTGTCCTAAACTGCTGCCTGGTTTGCCGGGTTCATCGTCCTGAAATAAAAAGAAAAAAACCATTAAGTATTTGACTCCCAAATCCTTGCTAACTTCGGTCACCATTGGCCCCTTGTGTTAAAATGTACATTTCTTATGCTCTTTTACTCTTAAGGAATGACCGGGCAGATATCGTAAATCTTAAAATACACTAACAACTCAATTAATAATCGAAAAGACGTAAACATCCACCCAAGATCTTTAGCGCCTATAATTTCTTCTAAACCTCAATTCCTATTCCTTCCAACACCCCATAAAATCATTTCACCGTCGTTCTCATAAACTCGTCGTCCTCATCCACATCATCCCCAAACTCCCCCATTAATCCCCGAATTCCGCCTTCATAATCCCCAAACTGCCACTAACCTCATTAAACTCCATATTATCATTGTCGAGTTCCCCGTAGTATAGTCCATCTTCCTCCACGGTCTCCTCCTTGATGTCCGCACGTTCCTCCGACTTCCGCTTTTTAGTGCCATTACTCGTTGTGTGGGTGTTGTTTGGTGGGGGCTTCGGGAGGTGGGTCGTCGGGCCTGGAAGTGATTGGATATAGATTATTATCATGAGAAGATTAGAACTGTTTTTTAAACGTTAATTTGAATATTTTTATATTTTTAAGAGAGTATTTTGGATAAAGTAGTGTTAGATATACTATTTATACAGATATACAGAATAAATTGTTCATAAATACTTATAAATAATAATAAATATAAATAAGACTATAGCAGACAAATGGGACAGCCCTATACTGGGACATTGGATACGCCTGCATGCTATTGTGGCGTAAGTTATGTTTTAATTGTAACTGGTAATTTTAAGTACTAAAACTAGTTTTATAAGTTGTTTGTTTACTAACCAAATGGATTTAAGTTGTCCGAAATAAATAAATAAATTAAAAATTAAATTAAATAAATACTAACAATAAGTCGTATCGTTCACATTTGTATAATCAGTTTTTTTTACCAACACAAAATATCATGCCTTTAATCCTCAAAGACTAAGTAGAGAGCCCACCCATTTCTTTTGTATTTTTTTTGTAAACAATATACATTAAAGATCGAGAAATTATAGGTATGTTTATTGACAAAACACAAGATAAACTTTTCATCAAAGTTGAAGTCCTAAAGGCGAGGTATGATAACTAGATATTTTGATATCTACGTACCATTAGTAGTTCCATGTTCCCTCTGCGCGTTGGCGACGAGTGCGTCGCTGGCGACCGTGTAGTCTCTGTCCTTGGCGGCCGCACTGTCCGCGCCCAGCGTGCCCAGCTCGGACGACAAGCTCGACGTGTCGCTTGAGCATAGCCCTGAATTCATAAATACAAAGATTTTTTTATAAAAACATCTTACTAAACGAGAGACTTACTTTTGAGTAAAAAAAATACCTGCGTTTGGAGATAACATAACATCTTGTGTGACTTAAATCAGATAGTATATTCATTACTAGATTTTGCCCGCGGCTTTGCCCGCGTATACCTATTTTATCCAATGGGAGCATTTAATTGGGATAAAAATCCTATCACCTAAATCACCCCATACCCTGCCTGTATCCAATTTATCAAAATCCGTTCAGTAGTTTCAGCGTGGTTGACGGACAAACATCCAAACAAAGATACTTTTACATTTATAATATTATATAGTGTGGTTTTCACCTGTATCTCTTTCACTCTGAATACAAACCGATTTTTAATGAAAGTTCAGTTATATTGACTACATTAACTTTAAATCAACCGAAAGGTAAGACCCATAGTTCACGCAGTGTCGCAAACCAATATAAACCTTACAGAATTTACTATAAAGTATAACATACCTCTGATCTGTAGCGCCTCAGCGGACTTCAGTAGACTGGGCAACTCGTCCTGCGTGACGTTCACCTCGCCCTTGTACATGAAGTCTACTAGCGCTTGCATTTCACTGAACCTGCGGAATATACGATGGCATAACATTAGATATGGAAAAGAATTTAATCCAACCACGACTAATCCCCACGAACCCCCAACTAATCCCCACAAACCCCCATATTAATCCCCAAAACGCACCTCATATCCCGCATCAGCACGATGGGATGGTCGCACGGGTTCTGTAGTAACAGCCGCTCGAGGTACGCTGAGCATGCTGAGAGGACCAGCTTGTGACATCGCAGCTGTCTGGACTCACACGCTAATGTAACGTCCGCAAACTGCTCCGTTAGGAGGAGCCGGGGGAATACCGCCTGGAAATAATGAATTCATTTTTGTAAATCGGCTACAAAACAGCACTGTTATAACATAACATCACGCCTTTTATCCCAGAAGGGGTAGGCAGAGGTGCACATTATACCACTGTACAATGTAACACCCACTTTTCACTATTTATGTTATGAGTCCCATGTATTAGGGGGTGAGCCTATTGCCATATACCGGGCACTTTAGTGTCCCAGTCCCAGTAATACTTTGCCCGATGACAGCACTGTTATGTATCAACATTTACGGAAACGGGCATTTACATCTTAAATTTAAAAAATGGTGAAATTGGTGTAAACCTGTTAAAGTATGTATTTACCGTAGTGCAGGACCTGGGTGCTTACTCTTGAAATCAATCTTAATCTCAATGCAATTTCATCGAATAAAATCTCAATAATTATTCAATGTCAATATTATACAACTCCTATCGTAGCTGTTAAAATAGCATTCAGAGTACGGAATATAAAGTCAAACTCAATATCATATAGTTCATTCAATATCCACGCAATACGGATGCAATGGGCACCAGTGTTGCAACTCAAGAGTACAAAATTTCACAATATCAATTTCGATTGATCAGAATTGGATTCAAGAGTCAGCCACCTGTTATAAGGCTGGGTTCTGAGTTACGGTGGATGGCGCAAGCGGAATCCGCCGTGATTCAGGACTCGGCCTAAAAGTTCAAACAACAGCTGAAGGCCGGGATTAGGATCTTCAAATTGTCTTTTGAGTGATCCTTAATACATTAGAGAACTATAGCAGCCAATGATCCCATTATTACGCCAACCGTTGCCAAAGTCATGTAGGTATGAAATCAAAAATTGTTGCTTCAGAATTTCGCATCGAAAATAATATTGAGTAAACTCTACGGATACTGTAATTTAAGAGTCTTACTCTACGGAACTTAAGTGTGGAGGAGCCATGCTTCGGCACGAATGGGCCGGCTCGAAAGAAGTAATACCACGGCCTCAGAGAAAACCGACGTGAAGCACCGCTTGCGTTGTGTTTCGTCGTGTGAGTGAGGTTACGGGAGGCTCAATTACCCTCCCCTTCCCCAATCTCCCCAATCCCTGAATCCCCAACGATCCTCAAAGTCCTAATCCCCAAAAGGCCGGTAACGCACTTGTAACGCCTCTGGTGTTCCAGGTGTCCATCAGCGCCGCCGATTGCTTACCATCAGGTGATCCGTCTGCTCGTTTACCGGCTTATGTCATAAAAAAAAACTCACGGAGTTAAACATTTTGGAAATCGAATCCGACAGCTTATCTTCAGTAAAATTCAAACTTGGTTTACCACTTTTTTACTTCTGACAAAATTGGTTATAACATAAGTAATAACTAAACTACGTACATAAAGAAGAAACAAAAAAAACAAAATGCGACATACCTGTAAATTGGTGTGGTAAGAGTTCCACCTCACGCAAAACTGTTGCGGTGGCAGCGCCATCTCTATTTCGGTCCGCGAACTATCACATACAACTACCTAAGCATATCTTTGGCCAAACACTTTACTTTTCACTTCGCGATAAAATTGCCCGAAACCTTTCTACACTTAGATATTAATAGAATTATTTATTTATAAAAAAATTGCACAAAAGTCCGCTTCGATTTCTTTATCTTCCTTCTTCAAAAAACTTGTATCACAGTGTTACATTAATACTAACAGGTAAAAAATATTATATTTTCTCTTTCTAATTAAGTACTACGAAATAGTATTCGTTCTTTTTATAATTTATTTAGTAGAAACTGTTATAGACTAGACTGTATATTTATAGGGTCAATACTGGATCTGTATTTTTATACCTGGAAAGAAAGAAAAAGAAAATATTAGAAACATACATTAAAAACATAACATAACATCACGCCTTTAACCCCGAAGGGGGGAAACAGAGGTGCACATTACGGCACTTAATGCCACTGTACAATGTAACACCCACTTTTCACTATTTATGTCACGAGTCCCATGTAATAGGGGGTGAGCTGCTAAATACCCGCTACTCGATTAAAATACTAGCGTATTGCGAACTAGGCATAAATCGGGTATACGAAACCCGCGAGAAGAGTAGGGGTGATACAAATTGAGATTGAGATTCGAATCTACATTTTGGAATGAGCACCTAGCTTCACTGACGGATTGACTGACAGACTATTATTTATTTTGTATTAGTTGACGTTTAAAAAGTACCAAATTATGGTTTAATTGAAATAATAAATGTTTCAACTTTGAATTTGAAATATATTCGACTTTGCCGTCACCACACGGCTCATACATTACCTATTTTAAAATACTATGACGTCATATTTCGAAAACTAAAAGACCTTCTTTAAAATCGTTCTCAAAATACAACCGAAAATACAATAATTACCTAGTTACATTTCAACAAAAACCTGCACAGCTTAAACTCGCGACGCATAACAAAAAACATCCCCCAACTAAAGAGACTAAATACCAAAAATAAAAGACGAAGTGCACGATGGCAGCGCCCTCTCATAATTGCTAAACTTTTTACGCGAGAGTGAGGGAGACAGATATATGTTTCCCTGTTTCGTTTAAGAGGGAAAAGTTTGAAACAAAATGTGGGTATGGATAAATCGATAGGAGACGCCGTTGACCCTATGAGGTATGGCACAAGTTGGTGTATTTGTAGCTATATGGTATATTTTGGTGTGTAGGAAGATAATGGTCTGTGTTTATATCATACTAGCTTTTACCCGCGGCTTCGCTCGCGTCACAAAAGGATAAAAAGTAGCCTATGTGACATATACCAATACACACAGCGCCATCTATACCAATAATTTCGTTTTCCCTCGAGAATATAAAATTTTTCCGGGATAAAAAGTAGCCTATTATTTAATCCAGACTTCTAACTTCACGTCTGCAAAAATTCAAAGCAATCGGTTTAGTAGTTACGGCGCGAAAGTGGAACAAACAAACAAACTCACTTTCCGATTTATAATATTAGTAAGGAAGTAAGGATACCGAGATATACATATATGGTGATAAATTTGGTTATTACGGGATAGATTTTTGATATATTTTTACCCGACTACTACTAATTTCACAGTCACACGTTACATATATATCCTACCTACCTACCGTAGCACTTTGCCAACGTGTCACTGTGGTTTTCCGAACATAAAAATTTATTTCTATATAGTGAATATTGCATACTTCAGAATAGTAGACTGCCTGCCTCGTGACATAGATTGCCTCGTTGGCCGAGTGGTCGCAAATGCGACTGCCGGGTAAGGGGTCTCGGGTTCGATTCCCGGGTCGGGAAAGAATTACTGGGTTTTAAAAAAAATCTCAGTAGTAGTCTGGAATTGTGCCCGGTATATGGCAATAGGGCTCACCTCCTATTACATGGCATTGACAACATAAATAGTGAAAAGTGGGTGTTACATTGTACAGTGGCATTAAGTGCCGTAATGTGCACCTCTGCCTACCCCTTCGGGGATAAATGGCGTGATGTTATGTATGTATTATTGTCAATTGACAACGGAGGCATCTCGGTAGAGTCTACTGTGTTCATTTTCTTGTAATTACATAGGAACTTTGTTCACTTCAGTATTCTGAAAATCTTGTTTTATACTTTTTCAGCGTCGTTTTTTCTCGTAGTTGGATTTTAGTTTTTTTTTTACTTTTTATGTACTTATGGAGCTTATTTATACATTCAAATACGATTATTTTAGACCCTCTACCAAAGAGATTAGAATACTAAATTAAAAATAAATTAATGAATAGAGTAATTCTTAAGGAAGAATGTATAATACATGCATATTGCACCCGTGCGAAGCAGGGGCGGGTCGCTAGTTTATAATATTAGTGTGATGGCGTTCGTTTGGCGACTCACAGAAAATAATTAAGTTGTTTTCCGAAAAAATCTTGATTAATATAATACCTACTAGTATTTAAAATATAGCCAATAGCATCTGTCGCGGAGAACCTAACGGGTAACCGGGGTTCCGGCTCGACGTGCAGGAGAAGGAACGGGGTGGTTTTTAGTCAGTAAGAGTCTGACACTCCCTCCCGCCTCACCCAGGCGGGAGCAGTCATTCGATGATTTTCCCCGCTTAAAAAAAAGCCAATAGAATCTAACCGGTATATAATACGTAATACCGTCGTGGACAAGAGGGTACTTCCAAAACAAATTCTTATGACTTACTATACACATTTTGTAGCCTCGAAAACCGATAACACTGCTACCATAGTATAAAGAATTTCTTTATACTATGCTGCTACAGTAAGATCAAACCTTAATGCTAAATCGATAAGAATCATTATGTTATGTGAACAGTGGCAGGCGTGGTGTATTATCAAGTTGTTTAGAATTTCCATCAAATATGGTCCGCGTCATACGGAATCATGTTTGGGTGCAATAAACGTCGAGTTATTGTCGCTACAGCTACATTTGTCGCGGCCAAAATTTGGATGGGTGACATATTTTAAATTAAACAACATGGTGTGTGGGAGAAAGAAGAAGAAGAAAGAAAGAAAAATAGTTTATTTGCACTATTGCAGAAAAGACAAGAAAAAAAAAATAATAAAAAAAAAAACAACAGTGTACACAGTGCAAAAAGGCCAGTGCTCAGCTAAAATGCCGTGTCACGAGCGCGATTAGCCTCGCCTGTGGCCAAAGTCTCATAGATAGGAGAGCCATGCTTCGCCACGAATTGGCCGGCTTGACCGGAGTGATACCACGGCCGAGCAGAAAACCATAGTGAAACAACGCTTCGTTGTGTGAGGTTACCGGAGGCCCAATTACCCCCCTCCTTAGTCCCCGAATCCTCCACAATCCTCAAATTCCCAATTCCCAAAAGGCCGGTAACGCACTTGTAACGCCTTGGTGTTTCGAGTGTCCATGGGCGGTGCCGATTGCTGACCATCAAGTGATCCGTCTGCTCGTTTACCGGCTTATGATATAAAAAAAAGTCGGATGACAGGCCACTGGTACGCTATGGCGGATCTACATAAGAGGATCTCCAACTCCACGCTTGGCAAACATATTGGAGATAACAGATAAAAAGCTCAGGTTTATTAGAAGGACCATACTCCTAACATAAGAGGGATTGACATAATCTGCAAGCTTGGCAAACGTATTGGAGATCACAGATTAAAAACTTCAAAGCAGTGCAAACTGCTCAGTCTATATATACCTAGTTCATTAGTCGGGTATACGATTCCCACAATAAGTGACGGTGGTAACAAAATTAATATACCCTGCACAGCACGGTTATATAAAATAGTATCATAGTGTTACAATCACCTCTGCTTACCCTCTGTTTACACCGGTATACTGACGTACATACACACTCGTCGTAGTGGCATGACGCACGGGGGGTTCCGACAGAAAATATCTCAAATTGAATTCACTCTACATATGAATCCTTCATTGTTTTATAATATTCGACATTTTTACTATCTCGTTGGCCGACTGTTTGCAAGTACGACTGCCGGGCAAGGGGTCCCGGGTTCAATTCCCGGTTCGGGCAACATATTATTGGGTTTTTAAGTAATAGCACGGAGTCTGGAATTGTGCCCGGTATATGGCAATAGGTTCACCCCCTATTACATGGGACTCATAACATAAATAGTGAAAAGTGGGTGTTACATTGTACAGTGGTAATTAAGTGCCGTAATGTGCACCTCTGTCGACCCCTTCGGGGGTAAAAGGCGTGATGATATGTTGCTGTAACATTTTTATGGTATAAGCCGGTAAACGAGCTGATGGATCACCTGATGGTAAGCAATCGGTGCTGACTATGGCCATTCGCAATACTAGTGCGTTATCAGTCCTCTCATACGGTAAAAAAACGCAAGCGTTGTTTCACGTCAGTTTTCTGTGAGGACGTGATATCACTACCTCAAGACTGGAACCAAAATAATTTTAGCGTCGAGTGAATCGGACATTTAATCCAATTTAGCCCGAAAAAGATTAGCAAAAAATCCTACTTAAAATAATATTAAGAAAAGTAAAATTTTTGCGTAAAACAGAATACCTTTAAAATAACCACAGACAATATTCATTGTAAGGAAAAATAACTCGAGAGCATTACTAAAGAGCTCCCCATTCACATTGGCACAAAAGAATTGCCACCCTCTTTTAAACCAACGATTCTAAATTTAGAATTTAGAAAAAAAACAAACCATCTTGATCCAAGATGGCCGTATTTTAATGACAGATAAGTAATAGGAACATTAAAAAATATGTTAAACAGTTTCAATCAGCTCTATTCGTGGTAGAATATAGTTCATCAATATCAAGACCTATAGTTTGATATCTGTAATGGAGGCAGTTGTGAAAACAATTAGATAATATTGTATGGTCATCAAGATTAAGAGTGTGTACCAAATATCAGATCGATCTGTCGCCAGGATGGGGGTGACATTACAATTACTAAAGACCCAAATACACAAATGGGACAAACTAAATGAAAAAACCATAA